AGAGAGGTTGCCCAGAGCAGTGGTGGATGCCCCAGCCCTGGAGACATTCAGGGCCAGGTTGGATGGGGGCTCTGGTCTAGTTGCGGATATCTCACTGCAGGGGGTTGGACTGGATGACCTTTAAAGGTCCTTTCCAACCCAAACCAGTCTGTGTCTCTGTGTTTAAGCAGTTTGCTGTATTGAATGCTAGAAAAGCAGAGGCCTCAGCTTTTGTAACCTTACATGTGTCAGCTGCTCCCTCAGTGGGACCAAAGTGATGATAGGGAAGAAAGGTGCACAGTTTTATTGGAGCAATGGGCCACTTCAGACACAGATGAAGAATTGTGGTATAGCCACTGTGAGATTAGTTCTCTCCTGCTCCCTGACTCCATTCTGCCAACCTCTTGAACAAATCTGCTTCCACGTTTCATAAGATTGAAGAGTTTATTTCTGGTAGCAGCATTACACAACTAAGTGATACTGGCTTAGAATTGAGCTGGTTTTGTTCAAGCATCTTAAAATGTGTAGGTTCCTTGAGAAAATGGAGTTCATTCCAGTAGTTGACTATAAATGTGTTTTATGTATGTTCTAAATTTCTAGCTGAGTTATCTCTATAAATTGTTCAGGTTTCCAATCCAGAAGGACTTTGGTTGCTCTTTTCATTGTGGATAAGTCTCACATGCAGCATTTAAAATGTATTTCCTCAACATGCTTTAGCACGAGTATTTTTTTTTTCTCTCAGTGCTGATAAAGGGTCTTAAACAACTCCATGAGAACCAAAAAAACAATCCAGGGCACCAGCTTTCAGAGCCCAAATCTGGCAGTGGATTACCCAACAGTAATTGCAGCTCGGGGGTTCAGCACGTGCAGATCCGAGTGGCTCGGCTGGAGGAGAGCGCCAGCAGCACGCCCAGCCCCGTGGCAGCCCTGCAGATCCCAGTCCAGATCACACACGTCTGTAAGTAGCTAGTAGAAACAAACTGTCCTCTAATGAAACCTCAGACTTTCTTCTGTTAAAATGGTGAAGGAGGAGTGGGTATGTTTTAAATCATTTTATTAATTCTGCTTTGGTTTTCTGGATTCCGTTTGCCCATTCCTAGCTTAGACAAACGTAGGTATTACTGACAGTCACACCTGGAAGCTGCAGTTGGAGCACCTGGACCTAGGGGCTGTAGGTAGGTGTCTGTCTGTGTGCATACACACAAGAGTTTGCCATGTGAAGTCTTCTTTGAGAAGGCTTCAGTACACAAGCCTCTTGATGAAGATGCAGTATAAATATGTTTATTCCTTAAGTTTCTTCTGATAGCTCTTGTCCAGAACAATACCATGCACAAAATCTCCTTTTGTAGAATACTGCTATCCCTTAGTTCTGCTGAAGGACACTGAAGGGAAGGTATATCATATTTTTTCTAGTCCTGCTCTTTATCATGCAGTTATTTCTAAATGTAAACACTCTGGAAAGTGTTAACTACTCAGTCACACTAGTATTCAGCTGATGGTCTCCTCTAACTACTGTGGTTTTTTAAGTTGGTGTTTCCCATGCTCTTAGTGATGAACTTTGCTCATTATCAAACATTACCAGGTCTACTTTGATGGCAGAGCTTATTGCTTGTTTTTGTAACTCATCTTATTGAGTAACTCCAGTCACTCCAGTGCACTCACCCCATATGCAGCCTGTCATCTCCATTTTACACTATTTTGCACTGTTTGTCATTTGCCAGTTGTATTAGGAAAAATTAGTGCTTCAGTCTTGCTAGCTACAAAATAAATAAATCAGGCTAAGAACTGATTCTTCAGACTATGACTAGATAGGCATTCAGTCAACAATTTTTTGTTTATAATTTCACTAGATGAACGTACTACTTTCTAAGTGCCATTTTCATTTTATGCAGTTTATTTTTTAATTAGAATGACACACAACACCAAGACAGGAACTTATTATCTGTTGCAATATGTCAGTAGTCTCAGACTTTCAACCAAGCTTGGTCAAAGCTGTCCTTTAGTCCTTTCTGAGTTGAATCCTGTAATGGTTATTTTGTGATGTTGCTTGCTCCTGTGTGCCTAGCAAGCCTTTTTCCCCATTTAGTCTGCTTTCTGAAGAATTTCTGCTTGTGCAGTCAAAATTAATTTTGTGTTGTGGCTTTCCCAATGCCATGAGAGCTGAACCTCTGAGCCATTTTAAGCTGTATTTGATAGAAGGCTCAAGGTTTCAAAGGGTAATTCCTGTAGGCTTTATGAACATACCTGGCTAGGTAACAGACAGGCCACATTTTACAGCTACTAGGGGCCAGAAATTTGCAGCTGGAAATCTTAAACATGCCACAAAACCAATAAAATCTTCAAAATCAGAGCTTGTATCTTCATAAGATACCAAAATTATTCTACTTTGAAGTCTGAGGACCAAGTTCTCAGTGCTTGGAGTACTGCTGTTGTCATGTAGGTCTTTGGACCTTTTGGTATTTGTGGAATTGCTGGATAATTGGCAATGTATTAATTTTCCTCCAGCTTCCTGGAACTTGTGAGTTTTTTAAGAGTAACTGAAAATCACAATTTTGGTTCTGAATAGGTTTTGTGTTCTCTTTGGGTATGAGGTGTTTGGTGATTTTGAAATCTGATACGTAAACTGTTTTCAGGGCTTCCCTTCATTACTCTTAGAAGTAATGGAGATAATTGCATAAACAATTACACACCTGTGGTAAGTATTCTCACAGCTTTCATACACTGTAGTGTGTGAGAACCACAGCATACAGGGTAGGCAGATACCTTAGGGAGCATCTGACGTTTCATCAGTGGTGGACATACTGTGAAGGGCAGAGAAGTTTAAAAATACCAAAAAAAAAAGAGCTCTGTAGGAAACAGCAATATTAAACATGACACAAATTTCAAACAAGTAACACATGATCCAAAGCATATCATTCCACCAGAACCTCTTACAAATCCCACTACAAAAAGTAATTAGGTCATATTAGATAACTTTGTTTACTTTTTATCCCTGTGCAGTAAACCCATGCTTGCTCTCTTTTGCACTTCTGGATCGTAGAATGCCCTCTTTAAATAGTGTTGGATCGTGGGTGCCAATTACAGAACCTTGTCATTAGGACTGCAGCCAATTTTCTTTTTCTTATTACTGGAATTAACAGTACCCTGCTATGTAATAATTAATAGTGTGTTACGCTCTCTGCAGGGCTGAAACATTTTGGTTCACATCGTTTCTTTTTCTGTTTTTACTTCCTCTTGCAGCCTCAACCGATTCCCCTGCTGCTACTGTTGACTCTGAGACAATAACACTAAACAGTGGAACACTACAGACCTTTGAGATTCTTCCAGTAAGTGACAGAGAACTGATATTTGTCACTGTGTTTTCTCATTTAAGCACAGCTACTTCTTAGACTGCTAATGCACAACTGCATTTAAAAAAAAAATATAGTTCTCAAGTGGAAAGAGGAAGTTAAGAGATCTAAGACTTAAAAGTTCCAAGCAAACTGTATGTCTAAAAGTGTAATTCATCAGGGCTGTGGAATAAAATGTGAATTACAGTTAAATGCTTTATATCTGCCTTGATACCTTAGTGTGATGAATTTTCCTTTGTGATTGTTTTTGCTGTTGAAATCTGATGTAACAGAGCTAGAGGAAACTCCCAGCAAGTAAATATTCCTTCAGTTCCATTGTAATGTAATTTATAATACAATTTCTTTCATCTTAATGTTAAGAGTAAGTTGAATTTGTTTCTTTCCTACCTGTGATTGTCCAACATAGTATATGCTTGATTTTTAGCCTTAATACTTGGTAGCCTGAAGCTGTGGATGAGTTTCTTTCTACTTGTGCAGTACAGCCATCAGTGCAGTGGGGACTGGGTTTGTTTGCTTGCTTTGCAGGGGAGTTACAGTTAGGCTGGTTCATGTAAATAAGCTTGCTCTGAGCACTGGGTGTCCCTGGAAGGCACCCCCGTGCGTTTGGGTGTGAATGTTCTCTTGTCTCCTGCAGTCTTTCCACCTGCAGCCGACGGGCACGCCGGGCACATACCTACTGCAGACCAGCTCCAGCCAAGGGCTGCCCGTGACGCTGACGGCCAGTCCTGCCGTGACGCTGGCGGCAGCCCCCGCCTCCCCCGAGCAGATCATAGTCCATGCCCTGTCGGTAGGTGAGCCCGGCCAGGGCAGCAGGCAGTGTGCACGTGGCATGGGCAGAGCACTTCTGAATCGTAACACTGCTGCTTTGCTTACAATACCAAAAAGGGATTATTTTATTGTTTTTAAAAAGCAACTTGGAAGTTGCTCGAAAAGCTTAGTAAAGCAGCTGGGTTCTTACTGTCGCTGAACGTGGTGTCTCCATCTAGTGGCTTGCTCCAGCAGAACAAAACCCTGCAGTTCCTTGAGGTTCCCAGTTACACAAACAAATAGTGGTGTTCTCAAAACTTGCACAGTAATGATGGTATTTTTTATTAGAGGGAAGGAGGGGAAATCAGAATGGAGACTGAATAGCAGAAGTGATGTAAAATTCAGGGGAAAAAAAACTGGTCTTTTGAATCTATAGTGCTCCTTACCTGAATATTGCTTCTCTTGTATTGCATATTTACATTGCTTGTGACTTAAAGAACAGTTGACACCAAATTCAGTCTACAAACTCATCATTTAAGGCCAAGAAGGGTCAACAGATGATCTGGGCTGACATACTATATATGTAAAACTCTAATGAGTTCTTTGAATCTTTCGCTTTTATTTACTGAAAGATATGAAGATGCTTGGAGGAAGGTCTCTGACTTTTTGGGGGTTTGTTTGTCTTTTTTTCCACTACTGCTCACAGCCAGAGCATTTGTTAAACACCAGTGACAACGTGACAGTGCAGTGCCACACGCCAAGCGTCATCATCCGCACGGTGGCTGCTGAGGAGATCTCCTCCTCTGTCACACAGGCAGAGCTTGCTGTGGATCCAGACATGCAGTCAGCTGACCTGACAGCTCCTCCCGAGACCCTAGAGACAAACACCTTCCCAGGAGATATCCATCAGTCCAAGCTGGGTGACGAAGAGCAGTCAGTCTACAATGGAGAGGATGCCTCCCAGTTCAACAACAGGAACAGCAGTGAACTGATGGATGGAGTTATAGTAAGAACTGAGGAGGAGGTTTCAGCTGCCAGCCTCAAACAGGAAGAGCATTCTCACACTGACTTACCCAGCTCTTACGTTACTGAGGTAGGGCAGTGCTTGATACTTGGTATTTCCCTGTATCTGCCTGGAGAGTCATTTCCTTGCATCTTTGGCCTTTATGTGAAGCTGTTCATTATTAAATACGTCAGCGAGTCCGTGTATATTGCAGTTCTGGGAGTATTTTGCTCAGATCCTCTGTCCTTGAGCTTCATTAATATGTTACGGGTGTGACAGTGACAGCATTTAATTTGGTACCAAGGCTGATTGTCTTTGTCTGGAGCATTGTGCAGCTCACCAACTGTGGAGCTGCTTCACTGCTCAGGGTACATTGGCATGATGACTGTGAAAAGCAGGAATATTGGTGGCACTGAACAGCTGCCTTCATCTGATTACTATTTGGTGCTGTTGCTCTAAACTAGGTTGTTAATTGCCCAACACACTTAATTTGCAGATAGATAGACTGCTGAACAAGGGAGGTGAAGAACAAGGGAGTCAGTTTTTGCTCTCTGAATCGAATTATATATTTTGAGGTGCTCCACAGTTTCCATTTTTGAGGACTTCTATTAACCATACGACTCCAGTTAAGTATTTGTCAAATTGGAATTTTAATTATTTAAGCTCTTTCTTTCTCTGGCCTCAATTTTATTCAGCTTCAGCACCTGAGATGCAGAAATTAGTTTATCCAGATGATTTCAGTTATTCAGATGGCATATACTGAATTCTTCCATCTTTCAGTTGGAAACTGAATTTTTTGAAACCATAGCTGGAACTACAATAATGAGTAAGTCAAGGAAAATGGAGATGCTAAAAAGAAGGTCTCTTTAGTGGGTAGAAGATGCATTTTTGCTTGGAAGATTGATTAGATAGGACTGTGGGAAGAAATTAGTTAAATTCAAATACCCCATCCTGTTCTTTAAAACACTGTGCTCTACAGTTGCTGTATTTCTGCTTTATCCATCTTGAAAATCCACTTTTGATATGCTCTGACTTCATTAGGCTTTGTCTTTGACAAAGTTTAGAGTAGGCACTGCATATCCTCTGTGCTTCTACAAAGAGGAGGACCTTGGTACATCTCCACAATCTGCTACTACAGAAGTGTTTGAATCCCAAACACACCCAAAGCTGGGATTCTTCCATTTTCCTCTTTCTTGTCTCATGGTTGATACAGACTGTGAGAAGATTCTCAACAGATGGAATCCATCACCTTTCTACACTCAGTTTAAAATTTCAGCTTCTCAAGGTACAGTTAGTAAACTTTTGCTATAAACATAATTCCTAATTAAACTTTGTAGAAATCACTTATGACTAGTAGCTTATAGAGCTGCTAAACCTTTTTTGTATACAGAAAACCAAACTGAATTTGTAATTCTAATTTGCCTTTCACTTCTAGTCAGATTCAAGTTTGACATGTATTTAAATTCTAGGAGATCGTGAACTGTCTGAGTGATTCTAACTGAGAAATGACTCTAGAAAGACATGCCTAAATTTTTCTCATTTGAAGTCCATGCTATTGTAATGCACTGTGTTGTATTGTCCCTGTGGGGTGCCTGGTGGGACACAGGCAGTTGTGCTGCAGGGTTTTATTATTCCTGGCTGGGAATGGTCTATTTACCACAACAGCTTCTTAGTTTTTCATGCCTCCTCTTCCCAGTTTGAAGCCTCACGACACACTGCCTGTGGTGGGCAGGTTCAGCTGGGCTCTCTGCAGGAAGCTGCTTCTGCAGGTCAGGCAGACCCTACCTGGCATGAATGGGTCCACGTTGGCACCAAGTCTGATTGACTGAGCAGCAGCACAGGTAGTCAGCTCCTCTTCAGCTGCACCAGGAAAGTGGTTTTCAGGCCGTTGTCTTTGCAAAACAGTTGTGAAACAATGTAGGGAAACAAGTTTTCCAAAAAACTAGGTGGAGGGTCTTCAGGATTTGCTTGGACAGAGAGGGCTGTAACCTCTCCCAAACATCTCCTGCTCCCTCTGAAAACAGGGATAAATCCAGGTTCCTCCCATTCTGCTGGCAACATTATCAAATGTTCTGCATCAGTGAGTCCTGAAGCTTGAACAAACCTCATGCATGCTACACACAAAAACTGGAATCCAAATAACTCTGCTTATTCTGGCAGTACTATCTAGGATGCCTTTTGGTGTGTTTTTGCAGAACCAGGAGTCTGTGGTGGGACAGTGAGTAAGCCAGGTGTATTACTGCCATTCCAGTACCACGAGAGCCAGGGAAGAGGCGGCAGCTATTACAGGGCTGGAAGAGAGCAGGGGCATTGACAGCTTGTACCTGGAAGTATACCAGTGTATTCCCCAGTTTTTGATGTAAAGAGGTTCAGCTAAAAAATTTGGAACCAACCTACAGTCAGCAAGTGAGAGGGCAAGCAACTAAAATTGAAGTTATGTCATTAAGTTCAGGTAAAACTATTGCTTTTGTGGAGCTGGGAAGTACTGTAAAGGTATTGCTTCAGTGTCTCAGAACACCTAGACAGCAAAGAGTTGGAAAAGCTTTATTTAGCCTTTGCAGTCTGTCCTTCCCTCTCCCCCTGCCCTCAGACTGCCCGAAGGGTAGAGTTCTTCTAATCTGCCTTTTAGATGCCTGCAGTAGGATGAAACATGCCCCATAACTGCTGAAGAAAACTAGCTCAGATGCTGACGTTCCAATTCAGTGAGACAAAGTTCATCCAGGCAGTGTGTTGCTCACTGGGCAGTGTGGCTGGCAAAGCAGGTCCTCCTGTTTCTGCTACCATGAGCATGCTCTCATGTCCTGTTCTTCTGTGTTCTGCAGGACCTGGGCTCTCCAACGATAGAAGAACAAGTTGATCAGCCTACGATAGATGATGAGACTGTGCTTATTGTTCCTTCTTCCCATGGTTTCATCCAGGCAACGGATGACATAGACAGCGAGTCAGTCTTGCCCCTGACAACACTAACAGGTACGAGGCTGATGCTGGAGTTAGGATTCATTAAAGCAGTGCTGCACTTCTGAGATCCTGTGAAGAAACCCTTTATAGATCTTTGCTTTCCCTTAAATAATTTTCCACGTCATTGCTATGAAACCTTAAGCAAGCTGGTTACCCAGTTGCTATCAGAAGTGGAAGACAGCCCCACTTAACCTTGTGGGAAAACCATGAAAACAGCAGCTGCTTCATCACTTGCTGAGTTGTTCCCATCACCCTTGAGCCTTGAATTAGTACACTTAGGCTAATAAGTAACTATTTAGTGTGCATTTCTTCATGCTTCCTCCTTGAATGAGATTTCTTACCTGAGAGAAGACCAGAGGCATCATAAATACACTTGATACCTCTCATGGTGAGGAGCTGTGCTATTTGGGTTTGCACAGCTCTCACCTAGAAGGGCTTGCTAGCTTGTGCCATTCTTCCAGTGCCAAGAGTCTCCTCAGGCCTGGAAGCAGCACAGATACACTCTCCCACTGCTGTGCCAAACAAATACTCCTTTCCAGCAGAAGGATCTCCTTGGAGAGCTCTCGGGGGCTCAGCACTAGGCCTGATGAATTCAAATGGGAGCCACACTAGTTGCATCCATATTAGTCATAGCCTACCTTAAAACCAGAAGTGGAGAACTGCCTTGTTTTGAGCAGCATTGCTTAAAACTGGTGAAAATTCCAGACTGCGTTTTCTGTCTCCTAGGTCTGTATTTTACATCTTGTTGTACTGGCACAGTAAATAACAGTCCTAATGGAGTGTGTCTCTTGACAGATCCTATCCTGCAGCATCACGGAGATGGGTCACACATTATTGGCTCATCGTTGGGCAGTCCTGACTCGGAAGACTCAAAGGATGTTGAAGATTTAGTGAGCTGTCACTGAGGAGTAAATGATGTCCATTTTCTATTGATTATGTCTGCATTGTGAAATTAGTTACAACCCTGTGCCACCTTTCCAAAGCAAGCAGTCAGTCCGTATCTTGAAAGAGAAGCTTCCAGTTTGAAGTGACTGCAGTGCACCTTCTCTGCTCAGGCTATTTACCTCATTTGTCACGGGTGAGAGAGCAGCCAGCCCAGCCTGGTGTGCTACAGCTGATCTCAGCCAGGGTGCTCCAGCGTTTGAAAGAACCTCTGCTGCAGTGCTGGCTGCTGGGATCCACGTGGGCAATTCTGATCTGACCTGGTACTGATGTGCTGAGCTGCACGGCTGGAGAACTGGACAGAAGCCAAGGACTGTGAACTGTTGCCTCTTAGTGCCACAGCAAGAATTAGTTTGCACAAGGTTCATGAAGAATGGGTGAGGATTTCTGCACTTACTGACTCATGGAGTAAGGGACTCTTAACATTTCAGGAGGAAATGTATTCTATCAAAGACTTCGGGGAGCAGGGGCAGCATCATGAAGAAATGGTCTGGTCTGTGTTCCCATCTCATCTGGCTTGTTAGGACATCCACAGCAGAGGAAGAAGGCACAGATGCTTATGGGACCTGCCCGGTCTGCTTGTTCCTGAGGAGTCCGTTGCAGGCAATGGACACAGCTCAGAAAGATCACTTGTGGGAAATCTTTTTGTTTGTTTGTTTTTCTTTCTTCATCACTACAGTAAGCTGAATAAAAAGGGAAGGGCTATGAGAAAGGGAAGGTACTGGGACCCACCAGCCTCCCCCCACAAGCTTGTAACTTCTTTGAAGCTGGTTGTGAGTAGGCTGGAACCCTTGTCTCTCACTGTTTACATGACACTACCAGCCACGTCTCCAGTGATTTATGCAGCAAGTTAGATGGGGGGTGGTGTGGAGGTGGCCAAGTCCTGGGAGAAACAGCTCTGGGAGAGGTTGGGCATAGGGCCCCCGAGGCAAGGGAAGACAATTAATTCCTACCTTCAAGGGTTTGAAACAGACACTAGGCTGAGCAGCAGCCTGTTAGCTAAGGATGGAGAGAAAAAGCTATAGAAACTAAAGACTGATGTATAAATTATTTTATTTATTTCTGTAATTAGCTCTTCATAATCAAGAGTTGGTCTTTTTAAGTCTGTGGTTTTGTTAATGTGAAAAATAAGTTGTAGTTTCAAATGGTTGCCTAGGGAACAGAAATAACTGTATATTCAGTTTAAACAAAATAAAGAGTATTTGTCTTACGTAACTGTAAGATGCCATTTATTTATACTGCTACAGATCCTTGCAATGCTGCAGTTTATTTGTACAGTAATAAAAAAATGCATTTTTTTCCAAAATGAAAAAGCTTGTGCCATTCTGAAACATCAGTACAACTGGAATGTTCATTAAGTGCAACAGCAGCTCTTCAAAAAAAAGCAGAATGTCACATCTTATGGCAATAATTCTCCCCAACAAGAGGGACATTACATATACATTTACATGAAAATCATGTACTGATTGACCCTTGCACAACCCACTTCTTTCCTCTCGGGCTGATTGTCCTCACTTAAACGTCTTGGGCAGAGCTGAGCTGGAAGCAGTCTGACACAGCAGCAGCATCGCTGGGTACTCCCCATGTCCATCATTTACCCACTTCATGGAAGTACAGGTTGGCACATATGCATAACATGATAATAGAAAATAATATATAGTAAATTAGGTTCCTAAATTTAGGTTCCAGGTCTCCTTGTCGATACCAGTAGATCTAGAAGAGAGGAAGAGTCTATTACTTTACAATGCCAGGTATTTAGAGGAAACTTTCTGTGGTACCTCAACTTGCAACTTCTAAACCTTTTTGGGTTTCTGTAAAACTGCCCATCTTCCCCGACTCGAGAACACGAGCTGGAGAGACCCCCTGAGTGTCTTAGCAGTTCAGAAATGCCACCTGCTTTCTTAGCAGGCTTCTGGAATACACAAACAAGAATACTTGGAAAGATATTTCTCCCCAAAACAAGGTTGTTTGTGAAACTGGGGTGCTGGGTTAGCTATGAAGACACGAGTTGTCAGTTTGGTTGAAGAGGGAGGGTGGGTAGGTTGGTTGGGTTTTTTGGCACTCAAAACTGCCTACACCCTGGCTGGTAAGGACAAAGGTCAGGTCTACATGGTCTTCCTGGGCAGAGTCATGGTGACCAGCTGTAGAACCAAAAACTGGTTCTACAGGCAACACAGAGCAGCTTCACAGTGAGGGGCAGGGGCCCAGGGTCACAACTGTTCCAGGTCACAGCTGAAGGAAGGAGAATGCTCCAAGTACTAAAACCTGCAGCAGAGGAAGGTGCCTCTGATGTCCCTGTCTATGGCAGGGGGTGGACTAGGTGATCTTTGGATGGTCCCTTCCAACCCAAACCACTCTGAACTCGGACCTGCCAGGTCTCTTTGCCAGCACTTGGGACCAGCTTTCCTGAGATGCTACAGCTGTTGAGTAGAGGAACCTCTGCTGCTACCCTGCTGAAATGCCACCTCCAGTAGCTTCCTCCTGCTGTGCCTGAAAGGTCACAGACCTCTGCCAGTGCCTGGCTGGCCCCACCACTTCCAAGTTCAAGTGTTTTGCTCCACCCCTAGACTTGTGCAGCACAATCCATCCCTGCATTCCCATCTCACCACTCTGCGCCCTGGTTTCATACTTTATGTCTCCACTGGTGGCTACAGGTGGCATGGGCACAGAGGTGACAAGTCTTGCATCACAGCTGGTCTGCAGAAGTTGGCTTAGTTCACACACACACACACTCTGCAGTACACACACAACTAGTGACCACTCCTTCAACTCGTTATGGTGGCAGGAAAGCTTTTTCTTGGCCAGCACCAAAAAGAAGGTGGCACCACACAAAGCAGATTTTGTTCTGATCTCATCCTCATAGACTCAAAGGCTTACACAGCAAACGTGGTGGTACTTACAAGTATGCCAGCAGAAATGCAACACAAGGAGATGCAGAAAGCAAAAAATATATTCACAGGTTTTGGAGGTAGTTGCGGGAAGACAAAAGCACTGATCAGAGTGACCTGTGTGGAGGGAGACAGAGGTGAAGACTTGCTCTGGCCTGCTGTCAGAGCTGTGGTGGCTCCCGACGCCTGGCGTGCCACAGCCCTGGCATCCAGCTCCACACACCCCTCCCTGCTCTTCAACTCCCACCCCATGAAAAGCTGGAGGGAAATGCAAAATTCTGCAGGAAAACTGCTTTGACACAACTGCAGACTTAGGAGGGGTGATAAAAACAGATGAAAGCTTTGCTACTCTGGCTTGTTGCTGGAAACCATCCTGCAAGTACTGAGAAAGCCAGCAGGCATGGGGGTGCATGCTGCCTGTGTAGGAGCATCCCCTCAGCCAAACCTCCCACCAGCTGGCACCTTGGCTCTCCCCACCACCTCCCTGAGCCTCAGCTCACAAACGATGATGCTGCTGAGGACCAAAAACCTGATGCTCTCTAGTCACGATGGTGCTGGGTTTGTCTTTAAAGCCTGGGGAAAGCATAGCTCAAGACAAAGTGACAAACTTTTGAAAAACTCCTATAAGCCATGAACACAGGGAAATAAACCCTGAATAGAGGCAAACATGTCCTCCTGGGTCATAACCACTGTGTCATCTCACCCAGCCTCACGGTCAGCCAGAATGGGCAACCTGCCCGTGGACCTGGGGCTTTGTATTGCACAGCCAGACCTTACAACCTGGCTTGAAGAGAGATATTTGCCTTCTCCTACTGCCAGAGTTTCAAAACAGATGCACTCCAAAGTGACCACTTGGCCCCAGTTTACAGCCTGTTTGCTCAGTGAAGTTTTGGCACTTGTTTTGGGGAGGAACTCTGGTTTCCACCTAAGGGAGGCACGAAACACAGGATGGGGTGCAGGATACTTACAACGAGCAGCAAGGACGTTAAGCCGCCAACAACTAGATTGATGACTCTGTCCTGAAGAAAAGAGAGGACAGTTACACACACCTCTTGCCAAAAAAAAAGAAAAAACCAAACCACCTAACACAGGCCAGTAACCAAGAAGCCCAAGAACGCCACATCAGCCAGGACCACATTCTCCCCAGCACGCCCAGCAGCACCACCGGGGCTCCCTGGTCAGCTCTGCCACGCAGGAAGGTTTCCCTTCTCTGGCTCCATGGACCTCAGGGAGGTTGTACTGGCCAGGTCCTTGTGCAGCAAGTCTGCCCACTTGCAATTGGCTTCTTTGACATGTCCACATCGATTAGAATTGTGCAAATCCTTTTTTTTAAATAATAATTGAAGAAGTGGGAGTGCGGAGACAAAGGCTGTCATCGGAAAAAGCTTATTTTAGCCTCAGTGCTGGACAACTACTAGCTTGTTAGTGTCTTAGGTGGGATTTGTGGGCTGCTGGCAAGGAGGTGAAGTGTTCCCTGTACCCCAAACGTTCCCCTGAAACACCAGCAGACCTGAGCATGCCTCAGTGCCCCTTCCTGGACAGGCAGATATCCCCTGCTTGTTTTGGCTGCTCCCCACTGGTATGGAACACTTGGCTGGGAGAGGACAACCTTTTTGCACCCAGGAAGCAGTACCCTTCAGTACCAGCATCACAGTCCTACCCCAGATGGCATCAGGGCAGGGACCAGCAGTGGCACTGAGCTGTGTGACCACGGGCTCAGAGGAGTCCCCAGGGCAGGACCCTGCACTGAGGCACTCGCTGGAGTAAGGAATGACTTGATGCAGAAGGAGAACATCCCCATCACCTGCCTCCTCCCCTTCTTCATCGTGCTGCTCCGAGTACAAGCTACCGCCGAGGTCGGACTGGGCTGCACGCAGCCAGGTGTACGCCCCACACAGCTGGCTCCCCAGATAAATGCCAGAACAGCAGCTGACAGCAGAAAAGATGTGTGGACAGAAAAAAAAAAAAACAACCAGAACTTCAATCCTAAGAACTTGGTGTGTGATACTGAGAGTCATTAAACAGGTACAGTTAAAGGGAAACAAGAAAAGAGTTTGAGCAGTGAAAGCATCTTGCCCAAGACAAAGCAGCGAGCTGGCAGAGCAACCCAGGTTTCCCTCCACCTGGTCTTGCACCCTTCTTCCCTCCTAGCATTACATTTGGGAAGACAATTTGTAGAGGAGGAAGCCCTGAGTCCTGAAGAAGTAACGCACTGGCGGCAGGAGGGAAGGAGGAAGAAGCAGAGAACAAAGAGGAGAAGAGAGCAAAGAGCTAAGCCTGCCCGTGCAGGAGGGCA